TCTTCCGGCTCGTAAGCCATGGACACAGCTCATAGCGTGGTGTATGTGTCAGGCGAGGAAGGTTTGTATCCACTTGAAGCATTAAAAAGCCCTCAATCTTCGCTTTGATTGCGTCCCAAACGAAAAACTTGGTTCCGGTATCCGCGGATCTGTCATCTCTCTTGACTGCTGTTCACAGACAACAGTTACACTTATATAAACGTTTTTCTCAGCGTGTGGTCGTACTCTGCAAAGTGTAAATAAACCTTGCTGTCGGCGGTCTCCTCCAGTCGATGGTTGAGTTTTGACTCTAAAAGGCGACTTCAGGTGTCACCAAGATGCCTTTAATAAGTCTGGATCCTCTGTTGTGGGGTTTGTGCTGATGAAGAGCGTGCGATAGCCACCTTCGGAGAAAACCCTAATTTGTATTGTGACCTCGTCCCAAACACTTGCCCGCTGTTGTCCGTAAGAGATCCTAGAAGTGTATTTTGGGACGATGCTGCCCTGAAGATAACGTAGGAGTACGACGAAATAAAGACTTGAGGGTCATGAAGACAAGTCAATACTTTTGTCGGATTGGTCTTCGATCGTTGTTTATACAAATGCACTATTTTGACTAAAACTTGTTGAACTAGAAGAGTGTGCTGTCAAATGTACATTGCGTTTTCCCTAGTAGTTGCCTCGATGGACTGCTTAGCATGGTCGACTTCAGAGAAGATATCTGTACGGATGTGGGCTGCTCTGACACGAACTCGGTTAACGCATAATTACAGAGGATTTCCGAGGGAACTGTGTTGTCAGTCCCTGGAACTGACGCTCTGATCGATTTATGATGATTGTGAAACCCTGGTGAACAGCATTGAACTGGGAGTCGATGTCGTTCTTTCTCTGCTAATTTGGCGGAAACTCCGGGGCATTTGAACCTACCAACGTTTTTGATCTGACGGCCGCGAATACCGCGGGGTACCTTATCTAGGTCAGAAATGTAGCTTTGCTTTTCCCGCTGTTGATAGGTTGCTTTAGCGACCCACTTATCCCGTGACATAGCGTTCTGTGGATCGCCTTGAGCTCGGTGCTAGCATGGCGGCATTGGCAACACAAAGTAGTTTGGTCAGTCAGTATCTGGGTGTAAATTCGGTCTTGGCAAGCCCACCTGGAGTCATTTTAAAAGTGCAGTCAACGGTGCAATTAAGTGAGATTAGTGAAGAATTGTAATACTCACAACCGGTTAGCAGACGTCGTTAGTGAGTAAAAATATGATGACCAGGTTATCACAGACCTTAGGTGCAGCGATGATCTTTGTTGGCATTTCCTCTACCACCATCATCTGCCGCAGTGAGCTTAGACAGAACGAGATTAAATGCTGCGACCAAGTCCACAAATCGGATGACCATCTGTTGTTACTGGTCGTTTGTGAGAATGTGTCGCGGTGTGAATATTTGGTCAGTGTATCCACGCGCAGCTCGGAATTCCGTTTGGTTGAGTCTTGTGCTGCGGTTATTGCAGTTCAGTGTCTTCCTTATTGAAAACACAAAGATGAAACCGGAACTCCATTTTCCTCGCAGAACTTGCATACACCAGATAAACGTCATCATCTCTAATAGCCTTGCTGTTACGTAGCTGTTGATTTCTTCCCTGGAAATAGTCGCATGACACTATGCAGCTTGGGAAGGACAACAATTAGCTTCTAGAGAGGAGGGGACAGTGGGTCTACTATGAAAATGATAGGACGCCCGAAATGTCTTCTTCCACACGTGCTGCAGGACAGAACCAACGTTTTGCGCTATGACTTCCAATATATTGGTTTGTCATCATTTTGCGACGTCAAGATGCCTTGCAGGGAATGCTGGAAGAGACTAGGATGAAATTTCAGCTTTTCGAAGACTAACACTTCTGACGCGTAGGCGTTGCTGCTGCGAGCGACACAATAATCCGCTGTCAATTAGGGAACCCTGACTAGGATGTATTCACGCCATCTGACCGTACAACCATCGTACTACTGCTAGGTCGGTAAACGGTCAGAGGAGGCCTAGAAGCACTTGTTGGCAACAGCAATCTATGATCACAGAAGCCCAGTGCCCCTTGACAATTGTTTCATCAATAGCCGGACACAAAACTTACATTGAACGATAGCTCTAGTTCCTGATAATAATCGGAATATCATGGCCAGAGAGTTATGCAACCAATTTTTGAGGCTGTGAAATAGAACTGTAAGTTGGTAAAGTTACAGTTTCGCTATAGAAATCTGCGAACATAATAGTGGTTGCCAAAACGGTGTTTTTTGCAGTAGGTTCACCAACAACCGTAGCTTCTGTCAAACAGTTCCTTGAACGGATAAAACATTTGAAGTTAGAGTCAGATGAATCCATGGTATCCTTTGCTATTGTTTCACTCTTGGTATCTATCCAACTGCAACTAGCGATTGATGCTGTGAGACGAATTCTAACCGAACGCTAGGACGGGAACGACAAGCTCCTGGAGTCCGGAAATTTGTTCGAACTTCTACGGCATTGCATCAAAATCTACTTCACATTTGGTGAACAAATTCATGAAAAAATTAAGGGCACTCCAATGGGCTCTCCCTGTCAAGCCTGACTGCTGAAGTGGTCTTTCGACGGATAGAACACTATGTATCAACCAATCTTTTGGGATCCTTATGTCGATTACACTTTTATCATTGTTAAAACATCTGACATTGAAAACTTCAATGAACTACTGAACTCGGTTGACCCGAATATCCAATTCACGATGGAAGCTGAAAAAAATAACAATCTCCCCCTCTTTGATGTCCTTGTGCGCCGGTGTTCAACTTGTTTACTGCAAACTAAAGTATTCAGAAAAGCCGCCAACGCAAAGTAACTACTACATTTCAACAGTGTAAGTCTGACCACCGTAATTGGTGATGCCCACCATT